GTGCACGCCTTGCGTCGAGGGCCGCCTCCGCCGTGCTCCTCACTCCTCCTCGCTGCGCCCTGCTACTGCCCCCCTTCAGACCCGCACCTGGACGTTTGGGGCCCTGCCCCCGTCCCCAGACCGCGCGGTGAGCGCTACTTTCTTGTGCTCGTCGATGATTACACGCGCTACACTACGGTGTTTCCTCTGGAGCGGAAGGCCGACATGCCCGACGTTCTTCTACCGTGGGTTGTGGCTGCGCGTCTTCGCTGCAGTCTCCCCGTGTTGTGTCTCCACTCTGACCGTGGCGGCGAGTTCGCCTCTGGTCGGCTTGGACAGTTCTGTCGTGCGGAGGGCATCACCCAGACGTACACCTTGCCGGACTCGCCACAGCAGAATGGGGTTGCTGAGCGCCGCATTGGCTTGGTCATGGAGGTTGCTCGTACCTCCATGATTCATGCTGATGCCCCCCATTTTCTGTGGCCGTTCACTGTTCGCTACGCTGCTCACCAGCTTAACTTGTGGCCACGCTCTCAGCGGCCACAGGTTTCGCCGACCCTCCTCTGGACCGGGTCCCTGGTGACGCGTCTGCGTTCCACGTCTGGGGTTGTCTTGCTCACGTTCGTGCCTCTGGCACGGACAAGCTCACTGCCCGCACGGTCCCCTGTGTCTTCCTTGGTTTCCCCCTCGACTCGTCTGACTGGCTGTTCTACCACCCCCCGTCTCACCGCTTCCTCCACTCTCGTGACGTCACCTTTGACGAGTCTGTCTCCTTCTACCGTCGCTTCCTTCACCGAGGTCTCTCGGTTGCCCCGCCCCTGTTCCTTGCTCCCTCTCCCCCGGTAGCCCCTGCGCCTCCCCCGCCTCGCCCTGCTCCGTCTGGTGTCTCTCATGTCACTGCCCTCCCGTCGGTTGTCCCCGTTGAGGAGTTCGCTGACTCTGGTGGTACACCTGGCCCGTCCGTGCCGTGTCCCCCTCCCCCGGTGTCTTCGCCTCCACGGTCGCAGTCGCCCCCTCTGACGCAGCCGCTGCCGCCGTCGCCGCCGCCGCCGTCGTCGCTGCTGTTGCCGCCGCCGCCGTCGCTGCCGTCGTCGCTGCCGCCGCCGCTCTTGGCCCCTGCGGCTGCTCGCGTGGAGGAGGGTGTTCGTCCTGCAGCTTCTGGGGGTGCCGCTGGTGTTGGAGGAGGTCCTCGCTCTGGGGTGTTGGTTCTGGGGGTGCTGCTGTTGAGGGTTCCGCCACCGGTCGTCCTCCCTCTGCCGGTCCGAGCGTTCCAGCACAGTCGCCGCCGGTCTCCGCTCTCCGCCTGCTCGGCCTTTCCTCCCCAGACCGCTCCCCGGTGTCTTCCCCGCCGTCTGCTGACCTTTCTGTCTACGGTCCTGTGTTCTCGCCGCCGGACTCGTCTCCGGCCCGGCTTCCTCCTCGTTCTCCTCCTGTGTCCCCTCCACTGTCTCCTGACCCTACACCTCCGTCGCACGTTTGGTCTCGCCGTCCCTCCCGTGCTCGTCCCGTCTCTCCTGTCCTGCGCTCCCACCCTATGTTGCTCCGTTCCCACTCGTCTCGTCCTCCCCTCCTCCCGTCACCTCCTCCCTCGTCCCTTGCTGTTTCGCCTCCTCCGTTCTCTGACTACCTCTGTGCCGCTCGTCCACTTGTCCCTCGGGTTCTTGCCTCTCTTGTTACCGACCCTTCTGTTCCCGTCTCGCGCCTTAACGCGCTTGTCGCTGCTGTCGCTGACTTCGCCTCTACCCGCCGCCTTGACTACGCTACAGCTCTGGTCTCTGACCCTGCCCGTCCTCCGTCCGTCGGGGGTGCATCTGCCCTTGGCAGTGACGTTCTAGAGGACAGGCAGTACGAGCTTGCTTTCCTTTCCGAGGCCGCTCCCCATCTCTGCTCCATGCTCCTAGTCCCTGAGGGTGACCCAGACGCCTTTGACATCCCGACCCCTCGCACCTACACCGAGGCCACTTCGGGACCCTGGGCCTCTCAGTGGATAGCTGCCATGGAGCAGGAGATGGCATCTTGGAGGTCCACCGGCACTTACGTCGACGCAGTTCCCCCACATGGGGTGAACGTAGTCGATGGTCGGTGGCTCTTCAAGGTGAAGCGCCCCCCAGGAGAGCCGCCTGTCTTCAAGGCGCGCTACGTGGCCAGAGGCTTCAGTCAGCGCGAGGGGGTGGACTTCTTCCAGACCTTCGCCCCGACCCCGAAGATGACCACTCTTCGGGCGCTGCTACACGTAGCAGCACAGCGCGACTACGAGCTTCACTCCCTCGACTTCTCTACTGCCTTTCTTCAGGGCAGCCTACACGAGCAGGTCTACCTGCGCCGACCACAGGGCTTCGCTGGTACCTTCCCCCCTGGGACCCAGTGGCTTCTCAGGCGCCCGGTCTACGGCCTGCACCAGGCTCCCCGCGAGTGGCACGACACGCTGCGTGCCACGCTAGCAGACCTGCAGTTCTTTCCGTCGTCCTCTGACCCCTCGCTTTTTGTGCGGTCCGGCCAGACTCCGTTCTACATCCTTGTCTACGTAGACGACCTGGTCTTTGCTACTGCTGACAGGGACGCACTGGCCTCAGTGAAGGCCGAGCTGCTGAAGAGACACACCTGCACTGACCTTGGAGAGCGGCGTCGCTATCTTGGCCTACAGATCTCTAGGGACAGAGCAGCACGCACCATCACTCTGACACAGTCACACTTGGTGCGTCAGGTCCTTCAGAGGTTCGGCCTTCAGTTCTCCTCTGCACAGCCCACACCTCTTCCCGTAGACCACGGGCTCTCCGCTCCCGTTCCTGAGGAGCCAGTAGAGCCCAGCGGCCCCTACGCAGAGCTGGTGGGTTGCCTTATGTACCTGATGACTTGCACTCGCCCAGATCTCGCATACCCTCTCAGCATCCTGGCTCGCTTTGTGGCCACTGGCAGACACCGACCACAACACTGGTCGGCCGCTAAGAGGGTTTTGCGATATCTAGCAAGTACATCCGGCATGGGGTTAGTGTTAGGAGGACGCAGGCCAGTGGTCCTCACTGGGCACACAGACGCGTCTTGGGCAGACGACTCTGAGACGCTCAGGTCGTCGCAGGGCTACTACTTTAGCCTTGGTTCGGGTGCTATCTCTTGGAGATCCACTCGCTCGTCGTCTGTTGCTCAGTCCAGCTGTGAGGCTGAGATCTACGCTGGTGCCATGGCGGCACAGGAGCTCCGCTGGCTGACCTTCTTGCTCACTGACTTAGGTGAGCGGCCTAGCTCTGCCCCGGTCCTGTACGCTGACAACAGGGCCATGATCCTCCTGTGTCAGGAGCCTCGACTCGAGGGCAGAGCGAAGCACATTCAGCTGCGGTACTTTCTCCTGCGTGAGCTACAGCAGCGCCGCCAGGCCCGCGTAGTTCACTTGGCCTCTGGTGCCAACACAGCTGATATCTTTACGAAGGCGCTTGCGCCTAAAGATCATGAGAGGCACTGTGTACAGCTGGGTCTAGTTCCTGTAGCCTCTCACTTGCTAGGACCTTGACCTTGTACTATTCTATATATGCTTGCATATGTACTCTGACTGGACTTGTGTCCTCTCCCAGTGGCTGGACTAGTAGTGCCGTCCTGGTGTTGTTCTTGTCTTGTCTGTATTCCTTTTGACTGGTCTTTAGACTGTTGTCTCAGAGGCTGGACTAGTAGTGCCGCCCTGAGCTGCTTGTTCAGAACCTGCCCCTATGCAGTCTAGGGGGTGTGTCAAACATGTTTATCTACAATGTTTGTATAGACTGTATAGGGTCATCTCTTAGAGAGTACAACCCTTAGATATATGTCCTTGTACAATTCTTTCTAGTCAATCATTATTCAGTTTTCCTTTAAGATGACGGGGGGAAGTACGCTGCGGAAGCGTGAGGAGAAGGCCCGAGCGAAAGTGGCCTGCTCTGAAACCATGTTAAAAGACTAACTAAGCTAGCTAGGAATGTAGCTAGGATGGAAGGTAGGCGGCCATGGAATGGCGTGAGGTTTTAGGAGCTAGGAGAGGCGAGAATTGACGAGAGAAAAGAGGGCTAGAAACAAGAGAGAGAGAGGCATACAAGGAGAGGGGTTGTACCTGTTAAAATTATATAAGTTATAATTTAATATAGGCTTGGTAGGTTGTTACTGAACCTTTCTGTAGGGGGTACAAACCCCTCCTTGTACTCCCCTCTCTTCCTAATCCAACTTCCTTTCTTCTCGACATCCTCTCACCTCCTAGATCCGTTTTTCCTCACGCCATTCCATGGCGGTCTTCTTCCTAGTATCCTAGCCAACCTAGCCTCCTAAGTTTAAGAACCTTTAGTCCTAAGTTTCTAAGATGGTATCAGAGCAGGAGATCCTCCCTGTTGGATCGCCTCCTCACGCTTCCGCAATTTACTCCTCACTCTCATTAGCTCGAGCGGCCATGGCGGCCGCGTTTTGCTGCAGTGGCGACGTCGCGCTGCCACTGGCCGCGTCGTGCCGCGACCGGCTCGACGCGCTGCCGTGGCGTCGGGCCGTCGTTCTGCAGTCGCAGCGTCGACGTCCCGCTGCGGCATCGACGCTGCCTCTGCCGTCGCGACGTCGACGTCCTGCTGCAGCGTCGACGGCGCCGTCGGGCCGCAGCCGGTTGCGTCGACGCTTTGCCGTGGCAGCGTCACCTTGCTGCCGTTGCAGCGTCGGCGTGCCGCCACAGCGTCGACGCCGCGTCCTGGCGGCATCGTCATGCTGCCGCGGCAGCGTGGATGGGCGGCAGCGGGCAGCACGCCGTCGTAACCGCCACCTGCCCGCCCTCCTGCCAGTAAGCGCCGCGCCACTTATGGCGCGTCGCTGAAGACTCGCCTCGCCCCGCCCCCTCCCCTCCCCCCCCCCACCTGCACCTGCTTCCCCTGCATCCCCCCCTTTCTTGCTGCAGCCGATGACTGCCATGTGAGGGACCTCTCCACCGCCGAGGAGACAGGACATGCCGCCGAGAGGGCGGGGGCCGCCGCACCAGCCTCTGTCGTTCGAGCCGCCGGCGCCGCCGCTGTTGCCGCAGGCCTGGAGCCACCGCACACCGCCGCCGCCGTCGCCGTCGTCACTGTCGCTGCTGCCGCCATTGCCGTCTCAAGGGGCCGTGAGACCTACCCTCTTCCGGAGTCGTTGCGGCTCCTGCTGGGAATGGGGGTGCTGGGCTAGGGGGTGTGGGTGTGGGTGTGGGTGTGGGTGTGGGGGTGTGCGTGGGCTTGACACTACCAAGCCTAGGGGGTGTGTTAAAATTATATAAGTTATAATTTAATATAGGCTTGGTAGGTTGTTACTGAACCTTTCTGTAGGGGGTACAAACCCCTCCTTGTACTCCCCTCTCTTCCTAATCCAACTTCCTTTCTTCTCGACATCCACTTACCTCCTAGATCCGTTTTTCCTCACGCCATTCCATGGCGGTCTTCTTCCTAGTATCCTAGCCAACCTAGCCTCCTAAGTTTAAGAACCTTTAGTCCTAAGTTTCTAAGAGTACCCTCTACAGTAAAGTTCAGTAACCTACCAAGCCTACCAATTATATAACAAAATAGATAATTTAACAGGGCGCCTATCCGGGTGGATACGGTAATGTAAGAGCATTGGTGATTGCTCATGAAGGGGTCTAAGAACGAATTTTTGTGGATAGGTTTGAAAAATGTAGGCACACTAAATCTACCATCTACCTAAGTTTACGAAGAGAACCCTTCAGTACCCATATTGCTAAACCCCAGAAGCCCAGTTCCACGTGCGCAGTGGTTTGCTGAAGTGTTACAGCTGCCCTAGAGAGGACAACTGAGGCTATTAATCCTAGAAAACTCGTATTAAAAAATAAATGCCGATCGCCGCCGTCACTAGCTTAGTTGTGAACTCGAATTGTACAGCACTGTATAAGCTATATGGATATGCTGAGCGCCGTTTTTACAACCTTCCTCGTGTAAGCTGCACCTTATCGAGGATTCCACTCTCACGCCACACCCCCCTCAGCTTTCACCACTCCCTCTTCTCCATCTCCCCTTCCTCCCAAGTCCGCGCGCATTCCAGGGTAGAATTCCTCAGATTCTCTTGTCTCCGATCTGCCAATTCCGTGCGAAAATCGTCTAATTCTCGTACCGCCTCCGCGCCTGTCCCTCCTCTCGCATCGTCGCCGTCTCTGTCGCTCGCTCCGCTCCATCGTCGCCATGTTTCGCAATCAGTACGACACTGACGTCACCACGTGGAGCCCCGTCGGTCGCCTGCATCAGGTGATCCGCGCTTCTGCCTCTCGCTCTGCCCGTCTCTCCTCTACCTCCGCCCCGTCACCTCTCGTTGCTCCCTCCTATCTTTGCTCCCTCCTCTCTGCTGCTCGCGCCAATCAACGCGGGCGTTTGATCTCTTCGCCATCCGTGGAGCTAGTTAAATTCGTCTCGTCTCTCGCCTGCACGTCTGCGTGTCAGGAAGGCTACAGCGATCGGTCTCACTTGTCGTGCGAAAGAAGTGCGATTTCAGTGCGACATCAGTGCGACAGTAGTTTGTCCCCCAGATTGAATCCGGCGCCAGCGTCTCAAAGGCGTCGTTGCTGCCGTTGTCGCTCGGACAGATCGCCCTTTCGTATACGCGTGAAGCAACAGAGAGCCCGGCATGAGCGAGTATATACGTGAAGCTGCCACCACCGCTTGCTAGCCTTTTGCAATCACTCCTTCTCTGCACGGCTTGCTGCCTTCGCATAAATACTCACCCATCTCACCCCATGCCGCTCCATCGCTCCCTCGCTGCTGCACCCGTCCCCACCCGCTCCTTGTCCACCCGCATTACGCTCCCCCTCCCCCCTGTTTCAGTCGACTTAAAGTCGCCCCATGCCGCTCCATCGCGCCCTCCCTGCTGCGCCCTTCCCCAGCTGCTCCTTGTCCGCGCGGGTTACCCTCCCCCTCCCTCCCTTTCAGTCGACAAGAAAGTCGCCCCATGCCGCTCCATCGCTCTCTCCCTTGAGCAGCTATCCCCAGCTGCTCCTTGTCCGCCCGCGCTACCCTCCCCTTCCCCCCCGCGCGTTACCCTCCCCCTCCCTCCCTTTTCAGTAAAGTCGCCCCATGCCGCTCCATCGCTCTCTCCCTTGAGCAGCTATCCCCAGCTGCTCCTTGTCCGCCCGCGCTACCCTCCCCTTCCCCCCGCGCGTTACCCTCCCCCTCCCTCCCTTTTCAGTAAAGTCGCCCCATGCCGCTCCATCGCTCTCTCCCTTGTGCAGCTATCCCCATCTGCTCCTTGTCCGCCCGCGTTACCCTCCCCCTCAATCTCCAGAGCCCCCCTTCTGTACCCTCCCCCCTCCCCCTCCCCCTCTTGCCCCATGGCGGAATCAGCTAGGGAGGGGATGGGACAAGTTAGGGCGGGTTGGGAGGGATCACCCACACTGTACTAGGTGGGTTTTGAGTCGACTCAAAAGTCACCAGCGTGGTGAAGGGGTGGGGCTGTGCAGCGCCCGGCAGGTGGAGCACACTCACTCACACCGTGCCAGCCACTGTCTCCCAAACCCCGCCATGCGTTTCCCCTCCCGCACCCCCGTTTCCCCTCCCCTACCCCCGTTTCCCCTCCCCTACCCCCGTTTCCCCTCCCGCACCCCCGTTTCCCCCGTATCAGGTGAAGCACGCCACGGATGTGGTGAAGCAGGGCAGCGTGGCGGTGGGCCTGCGAAGCAACATGCACGTGGTGCTGCCCGCTGTCCCCCATTCCCTCCCCTTGCCTTTCCTCCCTTCCTTTCTCTGCGTACCCTTGATACCAGGTGGAATATGCCATGGAGGCAGTGAACACCCAGCCCTCGGCACTGCAGCCATCAGCCTCCGCAGCAACACCCGTGCCATGCTCGCCACTCTCTCTCTCTCAATCCCGTTCTTGCCTGTTCTCCCTCCCTTATACCTCATATTAGGTCGAGTATGCCATGGAGGCAGTGAAGCAGGGCAGTGCAGCAGTGGGCCTGCGCAGCAACACGCACGCGGTGCTCGCCACGCTCAAGCGTGCCGCCTCCCCCCTGGCGTCGTACCAACGCAAGATATTCCGCGTGGACGACCACATGGGGATCGCCATCGCTGGGCTGAACGCCGATGGGCGTGTTTTGTGCCGCTTCATGCGCTCCGAGTGCCTGACGCACAAGTGAGTGCCTGTCGCACAAGTGAGTACGCTCTAGCAGGTAGGCTCAACCCCCTGGCGTCGTACCAGCGCAAGATATTCCGCGTGGACAACCACATGGGGATTGCCATCGCTGGGGTGTGTGCTCTGCCGATTCATGCGCTCCGAGTGCCTGTCACACAAGTGAGTGCCTGGGGCTTGAATGAATGCGTCTCACACTAGGGAGATAAAAGCACCCTGCCGCACTCAAGTGAATGTGCTCTGCCGCTTGCACTCTGAGTGTTTGTTGCACAAGTTAAGTGCCTCTCCCACAAGTGAGTGCCTCTCCGACAAGTGAGAACACAACACCTTCGAGAACACAACACCTTTGAGAACACAACACATTTATTTCTCCCCAATCGCATGCCTCCCTTACTCCACCTATCGCTTTCCTTTCTCCAGTTCTGTTGAACCATTTCCTTAGCACTCTTGCGACGTTTTTTCAAGTGTCCCCTCTCATGTCTCCCATTGGATGAGCTAACTGTCTGTCGTGCTAGGCATCAGTCTATCAATGATGCAACCTGCACCCTCTCTCCCTGCCCCCGCTCCCTCCCACCTTCTCCTGCCTTACCCCTTCACCCGGCACCCTTTCCATCCCATCCCAGGTTTGTCTTCGAGTCCCCTCTTCCAGTGGGCCGCCTTGTCTCCATGGTAGCAGACAAATCTCAGGTGTGCACACAGCGCTCCTGGCGCCGCCCGTACGGCGTGGGGCTCCTGGTGGCGGGATTTGACCAGACCGGCCCCCACATCCTTCAAACCTGCCCGTCGGGCAACTTCTGGGAATTCCACGCCATGGCGATCGGGGCGCGTTCCCAGGCCGCCAAGACGTACCTGGAGCGGAAATTCGACTCGTTCGGGGCGTGTTCGCTGGACGAGCTGGTTCGACACGCGCTGCTTGCTGTGAAGGAGTCTCTGCAGGAGGGGGAGCTGAGTGGGGCGAACTGCAGTGTGTCGATCGTGGGGGAGGGGCATGCGTTCAGCATTCTGACAGACGAGCAGGTGCAGGAGCATATAGACAGGATGGAGAATGAGGAGGGCGGGCAGGGCGGGGCGGCGAAGGAGGAGGTGACGGTGGTTGAGGAGGTGGAGGTGGAGGATGTGGAGGAGGTTGAGGGGGAAGGGGAAGGCGGGGCGGGAGGTGGGGAGGGGTCTGAGGGTCCTGCTCCTATGGAGGCTTGATGATGGGTTGAGGTGGGGGAGTGAGTAGAGGGTGACGACCGATTGGGCGGATTGTTTGGAAAGTGTGCTATGTGGTGCGTGGATTGCTATGCCTGTGTTCAGTAGTGTTATACCAATAGCTATGATTGTGCGTGAAACTCTTAGCATGCCTATGGTACGCAGAAAAGGCTGTTTGAGATAGCCTAACGCCATAAAAGGAAGAGAAAGAATGGAGGTAATGCCAAAAGGAACGTGCGCATATCAAATTAGATGGCCGGTTCAGGAGTGGCATGAGAGGTGTTCCTCGTTATGCAACTGGACTCGGCCTACAGAGCGTACGTTGCTCGGATACGTTCCTGGAATGTCGGCCTCGGACTTGGCATTGCAGCCATCAATCAACGCCCCTCACCTCACACCAATCATCGCCTTCAACGCCTCCAAACCCCTTCCCTGGCCTCCCACACACGCACTCGCCTTGCTTGATATTCTCCTCAAATGCCCTCCTTGCAAATCTCAATGCCCCTCTCACTGCACCTTAGGGCAAGTCCCAAGAGTACGTCACGCATACAATGTATGCGGTGGTGTACGGTGCGACACTGTCAGAATCGGTATTGTGTTCCACCGCTTCAAACCTTTAGGCACCAGATTAAACCGTATACAGCGTATGGGGGACGTACTCTTGGGACCCGCCTTGAGATTCCGCTTTCGCCCACTATTTCAAGACTATTTCAAGATTATTTCAACACCCAGTACTGTGCCGTCTCTCCAACTTCCCAATCATTCCCGTCTCACGACTTACCGGTACGACTTACCGACTACTTCGCTATTTCGTGACCTGTTGGCTTCACCGTCTCGCCAGCCACCGCATTCCCCAATCAAGTAGCCAGTAGCTCGGCAATATTTATCAGTCGCTTCGACAGAATCCGTCATCGTCATCGACATCGTCAGCAGCGATGGGCGGCGACGAGCTTCCGGGGCAAGGGAAGAAAGTCTGCGTCACGGGAGCGGCGGGTAACTGTCGTTAGAATGGTTGTAGTTTATGCAGTCTCGCGTGTTTCCTTTTCTCGAATTTCACCTCGGATTCCAACATTCTCCTTGCTCCCTATGCTCGCCGTCGATTTCGTCCTCGTTTTTGTACTCGCGTTTATCCGCATTGCCGTTTCCGTTTACTCGTAGGTCCCTTTCGAGAAATTAAATAATAGGCCTACTCATTGCCGTTCCGGATTTCGTCCTCTTGTGTTCTTTCCGGCACGGTGAGAGACCGGCTTTCCTCCAGCGTAGCCCTATTTCGCATCTCTTGTCCAATCGTCTTCATCTCTTCCGTCTCAAGTGCTCCTCGTTCCCTGCCTCTGCACGTGTCGTCGGCAGCGACGTGGCGCAGCTGCTGCTGGAGCGAGGCTACCACGTGCGCAGCACAGCGAATGTCCATCCTCCATCTCTTATTACTATGCTCATTCTCGCCCCCAATGTCAACCCTTTCCCGTCGCCAGGGCTCGTCGGCAGCTCCGTGGTGAGAGCAAGGCTTCACGGTGAGAGCGTCGGCAGCTTCGTGGTGAAGCTGCCGCAGGAGCGAGGCTACGACGTGCAGGGCACTGCGCGAGTCCGCCCATCTCATCTCGCTTATTCTCCAATGCGTATCCAACCGTCCGTTTCCTTTCTCGTTGTCCGTCCTCGCCAGGTTTCGTCGGCAGCTACGTGGTGAAGCTGTTACTGGAGCGAGGCTACCACGTGCGCGGCACAGTGAGGGATCTCGACGACCCCAGAACCAACTGGCTACGCGGACTGGTGAGGCTGCGCGGATTGGTGAGGCTGCGGGAACTGGTGGGACCCAGGAGATGGCGGGTGTATTGGCAGGGATTTTTTCGTTTCCCTTCCCCCCCTCGCTCGCTACGAGACAGAATCAGGTCGCTCGCTCCAGTGCGAGAATCTCCCCTCGTCCCGCATCTGACTGACTCTGGCCAGCGGCACGATGTCGTGAATTCGTGAATGTCGAGAATGTCGAGAATTCGCTTCAGAATCGAGTTCCCCTGAGCCGCGCTCGACGCTCCCGTTAATTTCGTGCACATCTGTCGAGCGTTTTTCCCTTGGTGAATAATGAGTGGTGTACGCTCGTTGGCACTTGCATATCTCAGGATGACTCGGGGTGGGGGGGGGGGGGGGGAGGGAGTGGGGGGGATGAGAGGCCGGCGGCACACTGGGAACAACGCAGCTCTTTGCAGCCGATCTAACCGCCCTGGGAAGCTCTGATGACGCGGTGGAGGGGTGCGGGCTGGCATGCCACGTGGCACACCGTGACACCTTTATGTTCCACACATGGCAGGCTGATGGCACTCTGACGAGGCAGTGGAGGGGTGCTCACTGGCGTGCCACGTCCGCGCCTGGGAGGATATTAAAACGCTCCTTTTATGTCCCTGTCATGGCAGGCTGACGGCTCGCCAGGGACTATCCAGCTGTTTGCAGCCAAGCCGATCTCACCGCGCCTGGGAGCTTCGACGAGGCAGTGGAGCGGTGCGAGCTGGTGCGATGAATGTTGATCCATTCATATTCCACACATTTGCCCATTACGTGCCGCCCATTATGTGCTGCACATTTGCCCATTATCCGTCGCCCATTGGCCAGGCTGACGGCACGCCGGGGACGATTCAGCTGTTCGAGGCGGATCTACTTGTGCCTGGGAGCTTTGACGAGGCAGTGGAGGGGTGCGAGCTGGTATGCCACGTGGCAGCTCATGTAAACGCGACCGGGAAGGACCCGCACACCATGGTGGCCGCCTGTCTTGACGGCACGAGGAACGTGTTTGAGTCGATTATGAAGCATAAATGCGCCAAGTGAGTCCTGGGAGGGATGAGGGACAAGCTGAGGGCAGAGGGGTGCGAGCCGGTGTGCCACGTGGATGGCGGCGCTGCTTTCTGTGATCATGTGTAATATTTTTTAGTCGGCTCAAAAGTGGCGGCGCTGCTTTCTGTGGCCACACCATATTGGTCACGGCTCTGGACGAGACTAGGGACGAGTTGGCTTCAATCATCAAGCATAAATGCGCTAAGTGAGTGCTGGCAGGGGTGAGGCGCAAGTAGAGCGAGTGCAGGGGTGCGAGCTGGTGTGCCACGTGGCGGCGCTGCTCAGTGCAACGGGGAAGGGGACCCCCAGACCATAGTGGCGACTGCACTGGACGGGACTAGGAACGTGCTCGCCTCAATTGTCGAGTATGACTATGCCAAGTCAATGGCAGGGTGGAGGGGGGGTGAGTGGTGGAGCAGAGGTGCGTTGACTGGTGGGAAAGATGCCGTGGGTGCCAGGGTTGAGGGCACAGGTCGGGATTAGGAACGTGTTCCTTTCATCGAACGCAGATGCGCCAAGTGAATGGTGAAGCAGAGGGAGGGCTGGGCAGAGGGGGTAGTAGGGCAGAGGGAGGGCTGGGCAGAGGGGGTAGTAGGGCAGAGGGAGGGCTGGGCAGAGGGGGTAGTAGGGCAGAGGGAGGGCTGGGGGGGGGGCGAATGCACGGAGCTGCCGCACGTCTAAGAAAGGCCCGCAGAGCATAGTGCTGTGCGCCCAGAGCAGCTGCGACGTCTAAGAGCACAGTGGGCAGCTGCACTGGACGGCACGAGGAACGTGTTTGCGTCTATCAGACTGTCTGTCATGAAATGAAGCAGTGATAGATGCACCCAGTGTGTCCAGGGAGAGATGCAGTGCGTGCTAGGGTTGAGGGCACCCTGCTGATCAGTGCGACAAAGAAGCACCCCCACACCATAGTGGCCTCTGCTCTTGATGGTAACAGGAACAGGTGTGCCTCTATGATGGTCCATGGATGCGCCAAGTGAGTGAGGGGAGGAGTGAGTGGCGTGGAACGAGTAGAGGAATGGCATTCTGGAGTTCATGGGGTTCGGGTAGTGGCATTGTGGTCGCCACTCTGGTAGCAGCAGTGTGCAGACTCCCGCGCTCTTCCACCTCTCCGCTCCTGCGTCACTCCCACTTTCCCTCCATTCCCTCCTCTCCCCATACATATGCAGGGGAGTGGCGCTGACGTCATCAGTGGCACCAGTGGCGGACGACATGGTCCCTCTCGATCACATTTTCTCTGAGGTCGATTGGAACAACCCTTTCTCTCTTTCCCTCTCCTGGCTTTCTGTTCCCGAATCCCAACAACCACATCTCACAGGATGGTGGTGCTGACGTCGTCAGTGGCAGCGGTGGCTGACAACATGGTCCCTCTGAGCACGTCTGCAGGGAGGCTCATTGGAACAAGTCCCCTCCCCTACCCCGTCTACTTCCCTCCCACCATCTTGCAGGAAGGTGGTGCTGACGTCGTCAGTGGCAGCGGTGGCGGACAACATGTTTCCCTCGGATCACATCTTCTCCGAGGCGGATTGGAACCGCCAGCTGTCCCTCAGAGCGCCCTACAGCATGGGCAAGACCTTGGCGGAGAAGTACGCGTGGCGGGCCGTGGAGGATCTCAAGGGCGTGGAGTGGAGATTTGATCTCGTGACCTTGTGTCCTAGTCTCGTGCTGGGGCCTGCTCTGAGGGAGGAGCACGTGAAGGGCAGCCTGCAGGTGGGTGCTTTGAGATGATGAGATGCTGGGGCACGTGGCCTTGTGCTGGGGCACGTGGCCTTGTGCTGGGGCACATGGCCTTGTGCTGGGGCACGTGGCCTTGTGCTGGGGCACGTGGCCTTGTGCTGGGGCACGTGGCCTCGTGCTGGGGCCTGCTCTGAGGGAGGAGCACGTGAAGGGCAGCCTGCAGGTGGGTGGTGGAAGAGGAGCCAAGCCGAACGTCTTGTGATGCCAAGAGGAGATTCGACCTCGTTGCGTTGTGTCCTGGCCTCGTGTTGGGACCTATTCTTAGGGAGGAGCACGTGAGGGGCAGCCTGCAGGTGGGTGTGAAGGTGTGGTGTGGGCGGTTCCCGATTTGCAAAGCTGCATGAGTGAAGCAGCTCGTGTATTCCACTCCCTCCCTCCCTCGCCCTACGTTCAATCGCCCACTCTCTCCCTCCTCTCCTCCCCTACTTTCCCTCGTCTTGCAACTTCTGGGGCAAGTTGCGGATGGCACTCTCTCCCTCCTCTCCCCTGACTTGCATCTTAGGCCGACTCAACGTTCCTCCTCAACCAGTCTGTGAAGCAGCTGCTGGATGGCATGTTCTTCCTTGTGCCCCACCTGCACTTTGAGTCGACACTGAATCCCCCTCGCCTTCCCATCCTGTTCCCCTGCAATCCCCCACTGCCCCCTTCCTTCCTACGCAGTCTGTGAAGCAGCTGCTGGACAGCACGCTCTTCCTCGCGCCCGAGCTGCAATTTGGCATCGTGCACGTTGCTACACCCCACCCTTTGCCCACCCCTCGCTCCACGCCAGTGCTCCCCCTTTCTCCCCTCCTTCCATATTATCCAACTCCCGTCTCACAGTCTGTGAAGCAGCTGCTAGACGGCACCCTCTTCCTCGCGCCCGACCAGCACTTTGAGCCGACTCAAGATGCACCCTCTCCCGCTCCGCCTCCCTATCCAATCCCCTGTTATTCCCCTTGCAGTCTGTGAAGCAGCTGCTGGACCGCATGCTCTTCCTGCCCCCGACCTGCAATTTGAGTCGACACTGAATCCCCCTTGCCTTTTCCCTTCCCTTTCCCCCACAATCCCCTGCTGCCCCCTTCCTTCCTATGCAGTCTGTGAAGCAGCTCCTGGACGGCACGCTCTTCCTGGCCCCCGATCTGCACTTTGGCATCGTGCACGTGGCTGACGTGGCGCTGGCGCACGTGCTGGCTCTGGAGAAAGAGGGCATGAAGGGGCGCTACATCCTGTGCAACGGGGACAACCTCTCACTGCTACAGATGGCTGGTATGTGGCTCTTGCACCCGCTTTGAGCCAATGCTGGCACGCATGCTCTCTCTGGAGGAAGAGGGCATGAAGGGGCGCTACATCCCGTGCTACGGGGTCACCCTCTCGCTGCTACAGATGGCCGGTATGCTACATATGCACACACTAGTAATTTTACATGTCTGTATATCGATCATTATGGATAGCAACAGGGAAAACCTTTCACCTTCATATTTAGCTGGTGTCATACACATATCCCCCCACTCCTCCTTCCCCTACTGCCCCTCCCCCACACACACCAGACGTGCTGCGCTCCAAGTACCCCAACTACCGTCTGCCAGCCATGGGCATGCCGGACTGGATGGCCATGCTTGTGGCGCTGGTCAACCCCGCCGTGGGTGTCGACTTCATGCGCCGCAATCTGGGGGTGGTGCACCGGTACAGTGGGAGCAAGGCGGAGAACGATATGGGGATTATTTATCAGTCTTCGAGAGTGGCGCTTATTGAGGCGGCAACGAGTATTGTGGAGCTGGGATTGCTCGATAGGAAGTAATCTAATAGTGATGAGAAAGGAAGGATCACCTTTTTTTGGAATTGGGCTGGACTTGACAGGGCGGTGGAGCAGAGCAAGGAGGGAGAGAGCTCATTAATGATGGGAGGTTTCATTTCATGACTGGCTGGGTTGTACATGCCATCTGGAGGTGCTACATTAGCTGTGCCAATGTTTTATGTTGGCACTTCACTGATAATAATACTACGGTAGATTATACAGTTCTAGACTTTGGCATCTCACTCGGGTTTGGGAATTGTTGGGCTGAGAAAAGCCCTTAGGATCTTCTCAGAGACTAAGTCCCAGTTGTACAAGATACTTGAATAGTGCAGCGGTTGAACCCTTGCACTGGTATGTGAGAGCAAGTGATTGATTAAAAGAAACAAGCATACAGGAACATATAGAGAGTAGGAAATAGAGCAGTTGTAGAATACAGTTGAAGGAACGGTTATCGAGTCTCACAGCGACTCGATCGTCGGTTCGGTTACCATCCCTGCAGTCGTAACAGTCAGTCGCAACCTCCAGTTGCGACCCTTCAAGTCCCTTCGTCCTTTCGTATTCTTTCGTCCAACCTCCTCGTGTAACCTCCGTTGACTCGCGTACTCGATAAGACTTTCCTCGAGTGTAGTGTTACACTTCAGAAACGCTTAAGTCCTCGAGGTATTTCCAACAGGAATGAGTCTATTGTAGATGGGTTTGTATTTATGTCAAGCGTAAGAAATATTTATGAAGTTTTGTGTTCGGAGTAACAATTATAGCCAGAACTATTCGCTGTGTCGTGGAGCCCTTCGTCAATTTCGCCGCTTCCAGTTGGATCGCCTGCCATTGGGCGTTTTCACGTTCGTTTGGGTCACCTGGCAGGGGCAGCCCCACGAACATAGCACAGGCAGAAATCAGAGCCTTGTCGTGGGCACCACCCGACAGAAGCGCAACCAGTAGCGCCAACCTCGGGTTCGGGCAACTACGTGAAATTCGCGTGAGCACAACTCGCCCAACCTCCAGTTTGGGCAGCTACGTGAAATTCACGTGAGCAAGCCTCGCCCAACCTCACAATTCGAAAGCAACAGCCAACGAAACCCCCTCCCAAGCCATCCACCCCCATCCCCGCCCCAGGTCTCCTGCCTCACACCCCCCAGGCTCACACAACCAAGGCTGTGTTCTACAGGCATATGACGTTGACGTCGACGTCTACATTGAGGAAGCTCCTCAAGCGACTTCAAGAGCACTGGTTACCACCCAAACCATGTGCACTTTCCCAACCTCGCTTGGAAGCCACGCGACCAAATTGTGGAAAGCGCAAGCGAAAGGAGAGAGGAGATAATATCAAATTGCGCAAAAAAAAGCTTCTGCCCCAGGGCAGGAGAGAAATTATCCGGGGCAAAATGACAAAAAAAGGTTAGGCTGAGATATGACTCGTTGGCAATGGGTTTGTTCAGCTGCTGTTTTTTTGCAGGGCAGGCCCAAGCTCGCGAGGGGGGGTAAAGTGGTGGCGGTTGTATTTTTGGGGTGTGGAGGCCTAGTACACCCTTGCGGTTAATGTAACGCCACACGCAAGGTGGACTTCGCGATTAAGCGAACGTCAGCATTGCGTCAGATTTGCGTCAAATTTGTCAGGGAGGGAAGCGACGGGGGTGTTTCCCTGACGTAGATGTCATCTGCAGATGGACCTGTTATATAGGCATGTCGACGTAACTAGGTTCGGGTACGTTGTGCCAGGTTTGGACGAAAATTTGCGGGCTGACCCTCGATCCGAAGCAAAAAATCTCGCTTTCGGAAGGTGCTCTGACGTAATCTGCACTTTCTTTTTTTGCCTGCAGAACGCAGCCCAAATCTCGGCAATCCCAAAGCTTCGCATGCTGAAAATCCGACGCTGCAGCTTCTAAGATGGAGCTTCCGACGCTGCAGCTTCAAGTTCTGAAGCTTCGGACGCTGAAGAATCCGCCGCTCTTGACGCGTAATAAAGCCCCAGTTCATAATGGTTTGCCTTCAAGTTCAGGATTCCTGAACTCGTTTTCGTGGAAAAAATGGTAACCCGGTTTAGCGCATGCAAATCTCGTGACCCTTGGGGGCTGTGAACTGAGGTTGTTGACGACGCAAAAAGCTTGCGAGTTCCGCAGCCAAAGACAACACTGGAGAACACTGTTCCCACTCAGGATTCTTGATCGCATCCTGTACCAAACTGAACGCATTTCCAAGGAGCCTGCACGCATATTCTGAAGTCGGGCCGACGCGCAAAGTTTTCCCATGCGGCTTGAAATGTCTTGAAATGTCTAAAATTGGGAATGCAATGTTGGGTTGTGCGCTTCGTATTTTGCCGAAACCAAAAGTTTCGCCCATGTGCCCTGCGACGTGGGCGCACGACCAACGCGATCAACACGTCCGGCGCAAAACGTTTGCAAAACAGACGGCCCAGTGGCACGGTTACCGCATCAGCTGCCCGTAACAACACACAAACAAACAAGGCACGAAATGAATAACGGGCAGAACTTCCTGGACCCCAATATCGCCTCTCAAGCCATAAAAACCTAACAGCAACATCGCAACGTGATGGGTACAGTTTAGCAGTGCAGGTTTTGGGGCTGTTGGCGGGTTTTTTTGTACCAATGTTGTTGCAAAGTCGACCGTTAGGTTACAGACGCGCAGCCGGTACATTCCTCTGTTCGCCTATGGGTCGCAACCCGTTGTGCGTGGTTCCCAGTTGGCTACGAAATTTTGGAGGTCGCATTTTCGCGGCTTGTTTTCGGTGGCCTTTTCGCGAGCGTTTCGCAGCAAGGTTGGGTATCCACCTCAGTTTCCCGAGTCGCATGGGAAAACTTGGTGCCGATGGGAAAACTTGGTCGTCGGCCCAACTTCAGAATTCGCTGTAACTCCGTGGTAGCTCTCTGCGCAGCCACATACTCGTGATCTTCCCTGTCTCCAGCTGACGCCTAAACACCACAACCGTCAAGCACGGGTACACCCGCCACTCTGTAGCATTCTCAACTTGAGCGCGAGCGTGACACGCATCCCTGCAATAGCTCGTCGTCTGCCCCGCGATGCCGTGGAACCTTGGCCGATCTGCCATCGGCCCACTGCTGCAGAGGGGAGACTTGGCCAGAAGCGTATATGCGACAGGCCCCACTAACCTAGCCTGCCCCTTCCTTGCCCGCTATCCCAGCAGCACCCGCTATCCCCCAAGCCCCCACCCCCCCCGCCCTTGAGTCCCTCGCCCGCTATTCCCTAGCCCGCACCTCCCTTGCCCACAATTCCATCGCCCGCTTTTCCCTACCCCGTGCTTCCCTTGCCCGCAATTCCCCCGCGCGCTACTCCCTACCCCTCGCTCCCCTTGCCCGCAATCCCCCCGCGCGCTATTCCCCACCCTGCACCCCCCTTGCCCGCAGTTCCATCGCCCACTTTTCCCTACCCCGCGCTTCCCTTGCCCACAATTCCCCCGCGCGCTATTCCCTACCCCGCGCTTCCCTTGCCCGCAATTCCCCCGCGCACTATTCCCTACCCCGTGCTTTCTTTGCCCGCAATTTTCCCGGCCGTTTTTCCCTGCCCCGCACATCCCTTGGCGGCAATTTTCTCGCCCGCTAGTCCCACCCCGCGCTTCCCTTGACCGCGACACCATCGCCCGCTATTCCCTACCCCTCGCTTCCCTTGCCCGCAATTTTCTCGCCCGCTATTCCCTCCCCCGCGCTTCCCTTGCCCGCAGTCCCCCCGCCCGCTATTCCGCTGAAGTAGATGACGGATAGGCGGTGGGAGAGAGAATACGCAGGGGGGTAGGAGGGGAATAAGATATGTGGAAGAAGGGGAGAGAGGCGAGGGAACGAGTGAGGAGGGGGGGGGGGAGGGGGATGTGCGTGAGGGCAGGGGATAGCGAAAGGGTGATTATGGTAAGGATAGGGAATGGGGTTAGAGAGCCGCGATGAACGAGGGGGAAAGCGTAGGGGACCCGATAAGGGGTGCACAGAAAGGGTGGACAGGTGGATTGAACAGCGGTAAGGGCCGCTGACAGAGTCCAGGGGAGTGAGAGACAGGGATCTTTCAGGGTATGTAGAAGCGTGGGGGACAAAGCAGAGGATCGGCCACCCTGGACAAAGGACTCCTCCCTCTCGCTCCGCGCATGGCAAGGCGTCGGGCAAGCCCCACACTAAGCGACATTGGGTGCACTCCCCCACGCCAAAGCGCATCAGGTGTGCCCCACGCTTGGCACTTATTCTCAAACCAATGCACTCTGTGCCATTTCCTTTGTCCTCTACTTTCCCTTCTCCCATGCCCCCCTCCTTCTTCTCCACTGCTCCTCCTCTACTCTCTCCTCTCCTCTCGTCTCCTCTCCTCTCGTCTCCTCTCCTCTCGTCACCTCTCCTCTCCTCTCCTCTCCTCTGATCTCTCCTCCTCTCCATGGCTCTGGGTTTAGGGTCCCCTCCGCTCTCATCTCCTCCCGTCTGCACTCCTCTCCTCTGTTCTCCTCTGCTCTCCTCTGTTCTCCTCTGCTCTCCTCTGTTCTCCTCTCCTCTCCTCTCCTCTCATCTGTTCTCCTCTGCTCTCCTCGGTTCTCCTCTCCTCTCCTCTCCCTTGCTGTCGTCTCCTCTCCTCTGCTCTCCATTGCTCTCCTCTCCTATCCTCTCCTCTCCTCTGCTCTCCTCTGTTCTCCTCTCCTCTCTCTCCCCTCTTCTCCTCTCCTTTGCTGTTTTCTCCTCTCCTCTCCTCTATTCTCCTCTGCTCTCCTGTGTTCACCTCTCCTCCCCTCTCCTCTCCTCCGATCTCCTCTTCTCTCCTTTCCTCGTTTCTCCTCTCCACTCCTCTCCTCTCCTCTCCTTTGCTGTCTTTTCTTCTCCTCTCCTCTCCTCTCCTCTCCTATCCACTGTTCTCCTCTGTTCTCCTCTGCTCTGCTCTCCTCTGCCACTCTCTGTTCTCATCTCCTCTCATCTCATCTCCTCTCATCTCCTCTCCTCTCCTCCCCTCTCCTCTCCTCTGCTCTCTTCTTCTCTCCTCTCCTCGTTTCTCCTCTCAACTCCTCTTCTCTCCTCTCCTCTCCTTTGCTGTCTTTTCTTCTCATCTCCTCTCCTTTCCTCTCCTATCCACTGTTCTCCTCTGTTCTCCTCTGCTCTCCTCTCCTCTGCCCTCCTCTGTTCTCCTCTGCTCTCCTCTCCTCTGCCCTCCTCTGTTCTCCTCTCATTTCCTCTCCTCTCCTCTGTTCTCCTCTGCTCTCCTCTCCTCTCCTTTCCTCTCCTCTCCTCTCCTCTGATCTCCCCTGTTCTCCTCTGCTCTCCTGTGCTCTCCTCTCCTCTGATCTGCTCTCCTCTTCTCCCTTGTCCTCGTATCTCCATTCCAATCCACTCCTCTCCTCTCCTCTCC